CTTCTTGGTATTGACATCCATGTGCAGACCCCTCCCATGCTGAACCAGGCTTGAGCTGCATGACAGCAGAACACGGCAGATGTGATCATGCGTCATTTCCAGGATTAGGTCACAGAAGTCACAGTGGCTTCTGGGTTGGGTGTGCTCCCTTGCTCTTGCATTAGTCGCCCCAGGAAGCCAGCTGCCAGGCTGTGAGCAACCCTACAGCACAGTCCACAGGGCAGGGAACCGAAGCCTTCTGCCAACAGCCATGCGAGTGAGCTCCAGAGTGGACCCTCCACCCTAGTCAAGCCTTCAGATGACCGCAGCTCTGGTTAACACTTGACCACAACCTCATGAGAAACCCTGAGCCATTCCCACATTCCCAACTCATGGAAATTGTGGAGGATCCTCAACATTCCCTGTTTTAAGCTGTCAAGTTTGGAGATCATTTGTTACATAGCTGGGGGTATCTACTACAAAAACAGCAGAGACCGGGACGTCCCTGGTGGTCCAGAGGTTAAGAAACCACCCTACAATGCAGGGGACGCCAGTTCGATCCCTGGTTGGGGAACTAAGATCCCACGCTCTGTGCAGCAACTAAGCCCATGTGTCCCAACTACTGAGCCAGTGCTCCAGGAGAGAGTCCATGAGCCACAGCGAAAGGGCCCATGCGACACGCAGAGCTCCGCGTGCCTCAACTAAGCCCTGATGCGCCAAACAGACAGACAAACACAGCAGAAACAGAAATGCCCCCACAACGCCCCCACAACCCTGGCTGTTTGCATCCCTCAAAGGTACTTCTGCTCAGCTAATGTGTGTTTTCTTTCTGCTCAGCCTATGTCATAGGCTGAGCTTTTTGGTTTTTTTAATTGAAGTCCATACAGTGGATTTATAATGTTGTGTTAGTTTCTGCTATAGAGCAAAGTGATTCAGTTACACACACACACACACACACACACACATATATACACATTCCTCTTCATATTCTTTTCCATTTCCTACCCTGTTCATCACAGGATATGGGATATAGTTCCCTGTGCTTCAACAGTGGGACCTTGCTGAGCTTGAGACTTCTCACTTCCACAGGAAGAAGACAATCCATTATCCAGGGAGGGAGACTGACTGATGCTGAACCGCAACTGACGACAAGGACTCCGCCTGGGAAGGCGCAGATGCTTGGTGCCACAAAGGCACTCGGCTGCTTCTACGACCTTGCTCTTTGTTGAGCCGTGATGGCGTGAAAGGAAAGCCATTAATTTTGAGCAAAATGAATGTGTAATAAGATGCTTCATCTGCTCAGGGATGTTCCTATTTCACAACTCTACACTCAGGGCCAGGAAGACACACATACACCCGAACACACTTCTCAGCAATACAGCAAAAATAATTTCATTGTCCTGTGTCTGAAATAGCCTAATTCTTAATTCTTTCTGCATCACTGCCGTTAAAATACAACTTTTGATTAGGCAAGGTTTCTTAGTAATAATACAATTACTATCCTGGAGAAAAATGATAATGATAGGTAATGTGTCTGAGCATTTATGAAGCCCATTCTCTCATTTTATCATCTAACCACTCTATATGAGGTAGAGTTCTCTTATCTTCATTTTATAGCCAAGGAAACAGAGACAGTAACTTGCTCAAGGTCACACAGCTAATAAGCAGCAGAGCCATGAATGGACCTTCAGGATCCAATGCCAGAATCAGTACCACCAACCACTAGGCTAAACTACCTGCATTATGAAACCCACCACCTGGACACACGGGGACCTAGAAGAGAGCTGCCCTGGTGCAGCCGTGTGGGGCTCGCCCCCAGCCTGTGACCCTCCACACCCTGCCTGTGACCCATGGCTGACAGCAGCCCCAGGCCATCAACCACAGCTGACCACAGGGACCCACCATCTGACAACACAGACAGCCGCTCTCCTGCAGCCAGAAGCAAGGAGAAACCTCTGACAGCTGGCAGACGCCTGTCTGCAACGTCAGCGGTCGAGTCTTTGAAAACACGTCCACTGATCCGTCTGCTTTCGTGCCATTTTCTCCTAAAGGGTCTGCCCGATTTATGCAAGCTCCTTCTACCTGCAAACTGCAGACTTTCAGGCACCTTAAACTTTCAGCTGTGTGTGTGTTCAGTCACTAAAGTTGTGTCCAACTCTTCTGTGACCCCGGGGACTGTAGCCCGCCAGGCTCCTCTGTCCATGGGATTTCCCAGGTAAGAATACTGGGGTGGGTTTGCCATTTTCTTCTCCAGGGGATCTTCCTGACCCAGGGATCAAACCCATGTCTCCTGCACTGGCAGGCAGATTCCTTACCCCTGAGCCGCCAGGGAAGCCCAAACTCTCAGCTACCCCACTGTTTAACTGGGGAAACCAGATTACAGAAGAGCATGGTCAAGAAGCTACCTTTTTCTATTTCATTCATGGGCTAAAGAAAATTTATCCCAAAATTATCATATACTCAAAACACATTTACTGTAAAACACACTCCAGTCCCTCGCCGCTGCCTTATGGACTTTCACACACACTCCTCAGTGGGCCCTCTCGGGGAATAACACCATCCTGTCCATGTCATAAACGAAGAAATGCACGCCTGTGGAAGTGAAGCGGTTCAGACCCAACACCCAATTTGCAAGCAATGGAGCAGCAACCCGAGGCTGAGCTGGCTCCTGACACAATAAAAAATGACAAGAGGACAGAAGTCTGTCTGTCTTCAATGATTCAGAACCCAGGTCTCCACAGACCACAGTCTTTATTGAGAACATAAAACACAATTGCACCACGGAACCCTGGCATGGCCAGGTAAGATGGGGGCCAGGTGAGAAAATGCCAAATTAGGCACCTGGGGCTTGTTTCTGATGCTCTGGATATGTCATTTTCAAATGTGAACGCAGGAGAGAAGTCCAAATTAAAATTAAATACAGGGGGACTTCCCGGTGGTCAGTGGTTAAACTGCCTTCCAAGGCAGGGGACGCAGCTGTGGAGCAACGATGCCCCTTGGCCACAACTACTCAGCCTGCACGCCACCACGAAGACCCAGCACAGCCAAACAATGAACATGGGATCACGCTGCCGACTTCCCGTTACACATACGTAACAACTGCATCAGTGTCACTCACAACAGCTGACAGCGCGGGGATGGTAATGCTGCCGCTATCGAGCTTCCGTAGCCCTGGGCTCCCCCACCCCATCCCCCCACAAGAAAGATGCAACTCCCGGTCTATTTTAAGTAGTTTTAAAGAATCCCTATAGTCAAAGCTATGGCTTTTTCAATAGTCATGTAAAGATGTGAAAGGTGGACCATAAAGAAGGCTGAGCACCACAGAATTGATGCTTTTGAACTATGGCGCTGGAGAAGACTCTTGAGAGTCCCCTGGTCTGCAAAGGGATCAGGCCAAGTCAATACTAAAGGAAATCAACCCTGAATATTCATTGGAAGGGCTGAAGCTCCAATACTTGGGCCACCTGATGCAGAGAGCCGACTCACTGGAAAAGACCCTGATGGTGGGGAAGATTGAAGCCAGGAGGAGAAGGTGACAATAGAGGATGAGAGAGCTGGATGGCATCACCGATTCAGTGGAGTTGAGCAAACTTTGGGAGATGGTGAAGGACAGGGAAGCCTGGCATGCTGCAGTCCGTGGGGTCGAAAAAAGTCACACATGACTGAGTGAACAACAACAATAAAAGAACAACCAGTTAAAGTGCTTTATCTTACATAAAATGGGGAAAGACTCAAATGTCCAGCAATCTGAAATGGTACATTCATATGGTACATTAGCTCAAGTAAATGCCACACCCAGGCACATAAAAATGGTGACTATGAAGCTTTTACTATGGTAGAAGGACACAGCCTAGGAAGTGACGGGCTGGAGATTTCAAGTAGAGCCCATAAAAATATGTTTGCATGTGACAAATGCAGTAAAATTTCATTATGGCAGTTGGAGCTTGGGGGTGGGGGGGGGCTGCTTTACAGTTTTCTTTAATTAGATATAAACAAAGTCACAAGAAAAGAAAATAAGATGACTCAACTATAAAGAGGTTCAACCATACCCTGAACCAGAGAAATGAAAAATATTTCGACAGCACTGCTTTCACCTGTGATTTTATCAAAGACCCTCAAAGCTGGATCCACCAGAGGCAGGGCTGTGCTGGGGGAGACCCAGCCCTCATTAAAGGCAGGTTGATGACCTTTATCCAACTCAGAAAGCACTCTGGGGACTTCCCTGGTGCTCCGGTGGCTAAGACTCCACACTCCCAATGCACGGACCCAGGTTCAGTCCCTGGGCAGGGAACTAGACCCCACAGGCCGCAACTAAGAGTTCACATGCCACAACTAACATCAAAGACCCTATGTGCCACAACTAAGACCCGGCATAGCCAAACAAATTAAACAAATAATAAGGAAAGAAAAGAAAAACACAGTGCTTTGACCCAGCAATTCCACTTCCAGGAATTTTTCTGGCAAATACACTCATACAAGGACACAATGACAACTGCGAGGATTATCAGAAGTAGAAAAAGGCTAGAAATGACTCAGATGCCTGGCTGCTGGCACGTCGGCCAAATGAATCCTGGTAGAGATGGACGGTGGGGTATCAGGGCCGTTAGAAAGACGGCAGGTCTGTGTACCCAGCGCAGGACGGTCTCTAAGCTGTGGAGGGAGTGTGGTGTAGGATACAGGACCATCTGTATCAAGGAAGAAAGAGAGGAGAGGAGGGAGATGAGAAGAGAAAGTTCATGTATCTGAATGTTCGCATCTGCTCGCGTACACAAGGGCCATCTCTGGGAGGTGACGCTGCCCATCCTCTAGGGGTGAGCCAGTGATCACAGAGTTTAACCATTCGTGACTTTTGTATTTTGAACCATGTGCATGCATACTATTTAATACTTACTCAATAGTTAATAAGTTAAAATTTCAGCTATGTCAGTATTATTTCCATTTGACACTTTAAATGAGTAAGTACTGATGAAAGGTGTGCTTGGGGGCTGGCCAGCGCCTCCCCCAGCCCCTCCGCCCCCTACCTCGCCAGCGCCTGGACCTTCGTGACGTGCCGCTCCTCCTGCTCAGCCACCTTCCGCTTCAAGGTGTCGACCTCCTGGCGGAGCGCGGCTGAGTGCTCCATCTCACTGTCAAGCAGGTTCCGCAGCGACCTGGGAGGAGGAGGAGATCCCACCTGTTCAGAGGCTGCCAACCCGGAGTCTACAGAGTCAAGTCCTAGTTCATTCATCTTCCACAAGGCTCTGCAGAAACCGCAGTTCACGTCCATCTCATACAAACTGCTTTGAGAAGCTACTCAATTCTGCTCGAGCCTCTGCGTCGTGACTAGGATGAGCCCCGGGGAACCACCGGAGGCCTGGCTCTGAGAGCCTGTGGGTTTGGTGGTTTAAACCAAGGGAAAACAATGAATTGAGCCAATCCCAAGCACACCCGCTCCCAGACATCCCACACTGAGGTATGCATGCTCAACTGAGACATTTCAGCCCAGCCACACTACGTATGAGATTTAATAAAGGAGGGGCTGCCAGGACAGGCCAAAAAAAAAACCACCGGAGCCACAAACACAGAAGACGGACTCCAGTTATCTGATGGATGACGGGAGTCTCATTTCTCCTTTGCCCACAATCTCCCACAGAGCACCCTTCACCCTTGCTGCGTCACCACCTCCAGGTTAAACTAACACACAGCCTGTCTTACGGAGATGAATAACTTGACATTGCAATGAATGTGTTTTATACTCTATCTGGAGCATGTTCACCCTGCAAACACATTCGCTTGAATATCTGTCATCTTTGGTCTTAAATAGCAGAGAAGACAGTGGCTCTTCCAGAAATAACCACATTACCACCTAGAATTGAGTCTGGGCAGGGTTCTGGTGACCATCTACGGACCTCAAATGGTTATTTCTTGAAATTTACTAACTTGGGTGCGGCTGCCTCCTAAATCTAGAAGACACTTGCCATGAGACACCAGACCACAAGCAGTAGTGTCTGAACCATCCCACCCCCATTGCTCACTGAACCTCCGCTCCAAAAACAAACATGGCATGTTTCAACGCTCCTTGAAAGTTTTGGAAAAATTCCCCTCTTGGGGCCTGGAAACCCCCCCCCAACACAAACTGGGTGTGATTTTTTTTTCTCTCTCTCTTGCTGGGAAGGAGAAGAAATGACCCAATAGTGACTATTGTTCTTTACAAGGTAAGACAAAACCTATGGTTTTTTTCCAAGATGATGGCCCAGCTGGAAAAAGGAAAAAGCATCCTGCAAAGTCCACAGCCCGGCACTGAGATTTACTTTCACTGGAAAATCACACTGTCTGAAGATTCCTTTTTAAAAACACTTGTTTTTCCAAATCACATTTGTTTGCTCTTGTATGTTTCCATATAGGATGAGGGAGAAGCTTGTCAAGCAGGGCCCAAAGCAAGTTTTAAAAAGGAGAATCAGAATGCACATCCCCAGGGACACAATTCCTGCTCAGGGGGCAAGCGTAAGAGAGTGGCATGAGCATGCACACACGTGTGCACACGCACGCGCACACACCTACTCCCTGACCCGCAGGCCGGCAGACTTGTACTCACAGAGGCTCTGCAGATAACTGCAGGCAGATCTACTGGCCAGCTTGTAGCCCAGACCAGGTCCTGGCATTGGAGCGGCTCACATTTGGGCGGCCAGACGGTAGCAACACGGCTAATAGCAGTCTGGTATCCAGCCCTGGTTTCAACAGGGAATCAAAATGAATAAAACCCTTCGGCCTCTCAGTGTCTGCAACAGGGCTTTGGGGAAAATCAAAAGACTCCATACGCCATCTTGCTATAGGTATCCCCAATTTGAGAAAATGTTAAGTACGCTAGTGCTTGGAGCGTGGCGGACAGAACCTCAATGAAGGGTTAGCTGCTGCTTAAGGGGGACTCAGGGTGACAGCTATGAGGATGGAGCTTCAGATGGTTGCACATATCTGTGAATATGCTAAAGACCACTGAATAAATAGGTTTTATGTTTTATATGATATTTAAATTATATAATCTATGAATTATATGTGAATTATATCTCAAAAGCTATTTTTAAAAAAAAATTAAAAATTAAAAGACTGCTTAAAAATTCTCAGTTTGAAAAAATAAATAAATAAAATAAATAAATAAAAAAATTCTCAGTTTGTTCTGAGATAGTGTGTGATCGTTTCATTCCTTATTAACACTCAAGCCGCATTATATATACTAAAGTGGTACATCCCAGAATGGACACATGTATATATACGGCTGAGTCCTTTTGCTGTCACCAGAAGCTATCACAACACTGTCAGTTGGTTCTACTCCAACATAAAATAAAAAGTTGAAAAAATAAAGTAGTACATCTCAGAACAAAAAATCAGAAATCACTGGTCACAGTTCTGCCCCTGAAGCAAAACTTCCTTCACGGTGATCTTCTCTCTGCCCCAGAGGCAGGATTTCCACGAAGGAGCGATCCCTCCAGCCCCAGCACTGGATACCTGTTCTCTTCTTCCAGCTCGTCCTTCCTGTTCATCATGGCCACGATGGCTTGTCGCAGTTCACCTAAGGGAAGAAAGCCAAGTCCAAATTAACCGGCAGATCCCGCCTGCTACACCGCCCCTCACCGGTCTGGATTATGTGCTATTTAGGGCCACTTGTCTAGACAAGTTCCCTTTTCCCTTTCAAAAATAATTCCTATACAGTCTAGGAGATCCAGTGGCTCAGTCAATCACTCTTATTAGCCACCCAGAATCCAAAGGGAGGGCAGGATGAGAATGAATGTGGAGGCATTTCCTTGGTGAACGTAATCAGCCGCTAAGGAAGTTACAGACTGGTGACTGCTGAGTGCTTCTCCAAGTCCCTGCTACCGGACAGCATCTGCTTTGAACACTGATATATTCCCAGTTAGAGCCAGTTACCAACCACAGGTCAGACAGCAGATCTCATGAAACTGACTTCATGCTCCTGTGTGTTCAGTCATGTCTGACTCTCTGCGACCCCGTGGGACTGTAGCTCACCAGGCTCCTCTGTCCATGGGATTCTACAGGCAAGTATACTGGAGTGGGTTGCCATTTCTTCCTCCAGGGGATCTTTCTGATCCAGGGGATCTTCCTGACCCAGGGATCAAACCCGCATCTCCTGCATCGGCAGGCGGATTCTTTACCACATGGGAAGCCCAACTGACTCCATGCTGACATAGACATGCTCAAGGTTACTGAGAGATCTGGTCTTCTTGCGCTGACTCCCATATACTGTGAAGGGGGACAGGGGCCCCTCCAACACACAATTCATAATTACTTGCAGGAGCAGCTCTCCTGACATCTTCAATGTGGGAAAGCAATTCACTGATAGAGAATCACGCCTTTAAATTCAATAAGCATCCAAGTTTTCCATCTACAGCAAGCTTACCTGTTGTCACTGTCCACCCACAGTGGACTATTTACCATAACACTCAGATCTCAAGCCCAGGAACTTGTGAATTTCCCCCGGAAAGCCAGTTTTATTTTTTTCCCCAACCAATCCTCTTAGAACTGGCTGCAAAGAAGCTCACAGCCAAAGTCTCACAACCAAACTCACACATCCAGTGCAACCCCTTGGCCATGTGGCCACCACAATGCACCCTAACCCTCCCTCTGATCACCAAATTGTCTTTCCACCTGGGGCCAATTTACATATAACCCGTTTCGCTCTATTTTTTGAACTGTTTTAATATGCTGCTTCAAGTCCTCTTTTGGAGAGAAGTATGGTTTGCTGGTATCCTTTTTTTAGCTAAAATTCAAACTCTTCTACTTGTCAAGCTCTGTTCAAAGCCCACACTGGCATTATCTCGTTTACTCCTTTACACACACCTAAGCAACACTACCCCACATTGTTGGTGTACAAATGAACTGGGGGGGAGGAGGAGGAAATGGGGGAGGTTGAGGACAAGATAAATAGGTGGTCCCTCTGTCCCATTATGCTCCGGATGCCTAGGCGGAAAGAGGCCCAAAGACGCTGAGGCAAGAAATGGGTCCCAGGAGCCATGCTGTCCACAGGCAGCCACGGAGGGGGCAGAAGCCCACCATCCAGGTCTCAGAGGAAGGGAGGGAAGGATGAGGAATCACGAGGGCTCCTGCTCAGCCTCTGGGTCAAAAAATAGGCCCTCCCCTGTCTTTTCTGACCCAGAACAGCCACGTCAGCATCACAAGGACACAGCTAGGAGGTCGAGGCCTGGCTTCCCCATCACACCTGGGACGGTGTGAAATCTGCGAGTCACATGGTGAGGAACCAGGCCGTCTAAGGTGCTGGTGACGAGGAGGGTCTGAGGCGTCCCTCTCCTGGGGTCAACCAGGCTGTAGCCAAGGAAGATCCGAAATTCACTGGGTCGACGCAAACTTACTGAGCACCTACAAGGCCGAGGAGCTGCTCTTGGTGCTGTGGGTAAAGAAGGAACAGAGAAGACCAAAGTCTCTGCCAGCAGAAGGCAGAGGGGAGGGGAAATACAACAACCAACATGGAACAGATGGGACAACGAGAAACACTGGGAGGAAAGCCAGGTGGGGTGCAGAGACAGGTGGTGGGGAGGGCTGCGCTGGAAAGGCCTCTCTGGGGGCCCCAGGGGAGAGAGGAAGCCCGTGTGCTGCTGGATGGAGGGAAACATTCCATGTGGCACACGGCACATGCAAAGGCCCTGGGGCAGGCGTGAGCTGGGTCACACAAGGCAGGCAGGGTGAGCAAGGAAGGGCCATGGGGCCCAGCCCTCAGGGGGCTTGGAGGCTTGAGGATTTGATGACAACTCCAGAGCCCGCCAGGCAAGCGCCCCGGGGACACAGTCTTGCTGGTGTCACAGAATGACTCTCCGGGAAGTGGTCTCCCAGCCCCTTCTACCAGGCTCAGAGAGAAGATGTAAAGTCACAGCTGGCGTCCAAATCTGTCCAATTCCAACCTCTGCATTCGACCCCAGGAACCAGTGGTAATCACCACCACTCACTTGCAGCGATTAAGAACCACTATTTCATCAAAATATCACAGTGACATTAAGGCAGAAGAACCAACCTGAGACGTCTTGAAATAAGCTGTGGAACCATGCACCTTTCCACGTCAGAGCCAGGATGGAAGCCAAGGCACCCTACCAACAGGGGAGGACATGGTATTCTGTGTCCAGAACCAGGGCTGCTGATGCTAGGAAAGACGGAAGGCAAAAGGAGAAGAGGGCAGCAGCGGATGAGATGGCTGGATAGCATCGCCAAGTCAACAGACATGAACTTGGGCGAACTTTGGAAGATAGTGAGGGACTGGGAGGCCTGGCGTGCTGCAGTCCACGGGGTCACGGAGAGTCGGACACGACTGAGCAACTGAACATCAAAACACAAGCATCTACTGAGCACCTGCCCGCTGGCTACAAGGCCCCTTCCCCAGGAGAGAGCCAGGCTCCCGACTTACCTAAGGGCGGAGTGTCCTTCACAGCATTTCTTAATGCAGGACAAACACACACAGTCACATGAGCCCACGAGGAGACAGACTGTCTGACTTTGCATGTTGAACAGGACCAGGTAATGAGGGCCCTGGTTCTCGGCCTTGAACCCGGGTCTCGGCCTCTCTGAGCCTTTCTCTTGGGGGTGAACAGCACCCACCTTCCGCCCTTCCTGGAGTAAGGTAACCTTCAGAGGGGAAACCAGGCTAGGCAGCACTGAGTAAAGACACCGCCTCTCACAGGCAGTGGCAGAGAGCACTAACGACTTAGAAGAACTTGACATGACACTAGATTTCACACTTTTATGGTAACTGAAAACACTGGCAAATCTGTAAAAATAAAAACAACCGGTAATCTAATTCTATGACACCATAGCCATGGGGGGGGGGGGCGGAAATCAAGAATTAATACATCATTGACGACCAGCTGGGAGAAGTCTCTTTGGCTCTTTATCTTCAAGAAACCTAGAGCAGAGGGCAAGACTGCAGCCGGGTGCTGGAGACCCAGGCTCAGGAGGCTGCTCCTTCACTCCAAGGCTTGTGTGACATCTGAGTCTTCTTACAAGGACTTCTGGAGGTCTCGACTGCCCCACGCTTCTTACAGAAGCAAAGGACTGGATATGTTGTTGTTCATCGTTGCAACATGAGGTTAGAAGTGATAACTTTTTTACACAAACTATTTTATAAAGCAGGTTTAGGTTCACAGCAAAATCAGGAGGAAGGTACAGAGGCTCCCCCATCTACCAGCAGCCCCTGCTAACGCACACCCTCCCTCATTACCGACACCCACCACCAGAGCCAGACGTTTGTTACAAATGATGAACCCACACTGACACATCACAATCACCACTGTTACATCAGGCTTCACCCATGGGGTTGCATGTTCCCTGCATCCAGAAATCTGTTTGACGCCATGAATCCCCCATGACAGTATCATCACAGTTTCACTGCTCTAAACATCCTCTGTGCTCCGCCTGCTCATCTCCCTCCCCACCAAGCCCTGCTGAAATCTCTAATCAAAGGGATCACGCCAGCCTTATGATCTGCAGAGTGTGCTACGTGCCTGCCTGATTTACACTAAAGAGCCACGTGCCCTGGATATCAGTGGGATGAGAGCTCAGCAGAGCACATGTGCCTGGTGCAGACACGCCCCCAGCCAGGGCGCCTGGCACCCTGGACCCAGCAGGGCAGAAGGCTCAGGTTCCGGGGCCCTTGGTCCCTCGGCTGTGCCGAGCTTCGCCTAGAGGGAGCAGCTCACCACCCACAGGCACGATCCTTGTGCTGAGACGTGGGTGTCGAGCACCCGCCTGGCGTCACCAACCCCTGTACCCAGCCTCACCTGTGGACAGCAATTCGCTTGGGCCAGCAGCCTCTGAGCCGGCCTCCCTTAGCACGCCCCCCCAGTGATGGGGCTGCACTATTTTGTTCCTCCCCCAGAATGTGAGCGCCTCTCCCTGAATAAGACGCAAGCCCAACGGAGTTCTCCACTGTGCTGAGAACACGTCACCCGAGATCTCCCTCCTCGTGCATGTTAAAGGCCATGTCTGAGCACAATGTCATCGCACAGCAGGTCTCTGGAGCTGACCCGTGTGGCCTGAAGCTTGACACCCAGTGAAGAGCATCTCCCCACTCCCTCCTGCCCCAGCCCCTGGCAACCACCCTTCCACTCTCTACATTTGAGTTCGACCATTAGATTCCTCATATAAGTGGAATTACAGTGTCTGTCCTTCTGGACCCAGCTGATCTTACTTAACGTACTGTCCTCCAGGATCATCCACATTGTCACCTGTGGCAGGAATGCCTTCCTTTTTAACGCTGAATAACACTCCAACGCATTGTTGTTTCATGGATTTCCTCGTGTTCACCACCACCGCCCCCATCCTGATCTGATGAAACTCATCTATTCAGGCCAGGATGAAAAAGACACCTCAACCAAGAAGCCCATGACGATTCCCCTACCCCTCAGCAAGCTGCAGAGTGTGCAACAGCTGCCTCTGTCTCCTGCAATCACCTCACAACTTCTTTAAGGCACACAGCAGGCCATGCCTCTGGGGTCCCCAGGGCTCTGACATGCCAGGCACTCGTGCATGTGTGTGCATGCTCAGCCAGTC